AGAAGCCCCAATGCTAACATTTGAATGCTCCCTCTGTGATGGGTGGGGGGCAGGGCGCTTCCCCCTGCCATCTCTTGTTGAGGCTGTGGTCATCACTATTTCCCTTCCCAGAAGAAACTAAAGCTCCGTTGGTTTGCGAAGCTGGCCCAAGCTCAAGTGGCAGGCCCAGAATTCTAACCCATGTCAGCAGCAATCCCACAGACTATGCCAGTAACTGCTGCTCCATCCTGCCTCCCCGGCCCATCTGCCCAAGGCCTTCACAGCCCCCTGGGATCTTCTCTTCGCTGCTCAGGGCCTCAGAGAGCTGGGGAATAGGAGAACATCTGGGTTTCCATCCTGCTTCTTATTCTTTGTGCCTCTGGGTTAAAGCCAATGTATCCCCAGCTCACGTATGCATGTCTGGCAAGGCCTCCAAGATGCCGTGGAGAGTTTTTCCAAAATTACCATGGACTCCAGACCAGGCCCTCTCCTGTCCCTCTTCCTAAGGACTAAGAGCTTTTGGGTTCACCTGAAGTGCTAAGAACACCTCACCAGCCTGAACTGCCTAGTCACCTTGGCCAGTAACTAAGCGTCTATAAAAACCAAGGCGAGGGTTTACATGTCAGGGTGGAAGGGAAGGGCAAGGCCAATTTCATGAGTTGTTTCCAGGTTTTGGTTTTTATTTGTTTAATCAAAGCTGCCTACGAGGTTCTATCTTGATCACAACTCTGAGAAAATGAGAGTATTCACATTTATTCAGCCTCAAACTTTCCTCCCAGTGGGGCTGGGCTCAGAAGAGCCTCTGGTAGAAGCAGTCTGGGTCCTAATTAAACAATGAAGTAGTATACAAACAGACACCCAACTTGTTAACTGCCCTTCTTTGCGGTAAGAAAGACTCTCTGTGACCCAGGTGAGGATTTTAACGTCCTGAGTTCACTGAGACCTCATTTACAGCTTAGGTTGACATTCGCTGCTCCCTAGCAGGCTCCTAAATGGTCAGGCAAGATGGCCCGTCTCTAGGGATGTGCTTCAGGTAGGAAAATCCACGTCATATTACTGTGAACCAAATATGCTAGGGATGAACAGACCTGCTAAAGCAGATCCTATAGTACATGAGAGGTTGTTGAATTTCAGGCTGTCTGGGCTAATCTCTGCCTCCGACCCTCATAAAAAGTCCGTCATAGCCTGTCTCATTGTTCCCGTCCCTTTCTGGGGTATCCACAGCCCTAGGTTCAGGTCTGAAAAGAGGAGGCTTCTTCTGGGGGCAACAGAAGGCATTTTAAAGAAATGACCCAGAAAAGAAATCTGTAGTATACTTACGTAGTCTTCCAAAAGTCCCTTCGACAAGGGCTGTAATTCCAAGATGATTTTCCGCACATCACTTGGTTGTAGCTGATGGATGGGCACCGTCTGGGAGGTCAGTGAAGTTTCCATGAAGCAGAGCAGGAACAGGGCAAACCTGGCGGGTCCTGGTGAAAGAAAACAATGCTGTGAGACACATGATCAGACACGCCGTGCCCACCCCAGCTGCCACCACCCCTGGCTGAGCCCCTCCAGAGTCTTCCCCTCTTTTTGAGGAGACAAGACCGTGCTCACGAACGGGGCGGTGGGACCCGGTAGTACCTGCGTGGGAGAGCATGGTGAGTGCACGAAGCCTGCTTTGGCAACAGCTTCTGGAGTCAAATGTGCTCGCCATGGTCCTCGGGAGATATATAAAGGGCCAGATGTGGGGGAAAAGAATGATCAATGTCCCCCGCCCATGGCAAAATCATTGATCAGCTTTTCTCCAGAAAACACTCAAAATTCTGCGGCCCGAGTTTGGGCGAAATCAGGGCTGGAAGGAAGCGCTGAGGTTACCCTCAAGGCAGATGCCTGACTCAGTACAGACACACACAGGAAGGCACACACATCTCTGCCATTTCTTCTGGGAAAAAAGCTTATTGATATGACTAGAAGAAATTTCATAGCCCAGATTTGACAGGCATAACTCCCCAGGAACAGGTGATTCACAGGAGTTAAGGACCAGTGCCCCATGGGGAGTTTCTGGGGAGGGTCACAGTGAGTGTGCGTAGGTGTCAGGGGGGCATGAGGTTTTCAAAATGTATTACCTTTGTAAGTTTCTGAAGCAAGCCCATGCCAGGGTGCAGGTTGGCCCCGAGAACCACTGTGAATGTGGCGAGTCAAAGGCTCACTCGTCTCCACTCTGTTTGGCCTTGAACATCATTGGATTCTCAAGTGTGCCTGGCAACAGCAAGGCCTAGAACCAGAATCTGTGCTCCAGAGTGATTTGTTGAAGGCACTTATTCCTATTTTGAGTGCCAACATTGACCAGGAACTCTTCTAGGGTCTTAGGAATGGTGGCAAAGAAGTTAAACAAGGTCTCGGCCCTGATAAAGCTGGTGTTCTAGCAGGCAATGGGCAGGAAGTAAGAAACGTGAATAAACAAGAAAGTGTAAGGTAATGATAAGAACTATGAAAATAAAACAACGTGATGGGATAGAGAGTGGTGGGTGAGATACTTTAAGTCAGGTGATGAAGAATAGTTTCTCTGGGGAGGTGTCTGCTGTGGGAAGATCTGGGGAAAGGGTACTCCAAGCGTAGGGGACACTTGTGCAAAAGTGAGCTTGGTGTGGCCAAGAATTGCAGCTGCAGCAAAGTTAGGGAAGTGGAGGGTGGTAGGGAGGGGGGCAGAGGCCAGGTCACAGAGGACCTTCTGAGGCCATGATAAAGAACTTGGGTTTTATCCCAAGTGTGACAAGGCACCACCGGATGGCTGTCAGAGGGGGAATATAGAATCTGGTATACTTTAAGAAGCGAGAATGAGATAGGCTGCTAAGAGGAGAGTGGATTGTGTGAATCCAAGATGGAAGCAGAGGACCAGTTGGGAGATTATGTGGCTGTCCAGGTAGAGATGATGGTGGATTGGACCAGGGTAGAGTGGATGGGGATGGAGTCCAAAGAACCGGCTGATGGACTTATGTGGATGGAAGAGGAATCAGGGATGACTCCTAGGATTTTGATGAAGCAACTGGATAGTTGATATGCAGAGAAGGAAAAGAAGTCTAGAGAGGGGAAATTGAGAATCCTGTCTGGAATGAGTTCAGTTCAAGATGCCCATTGGGCATCTATTTGATGACAAGTTAGCCATTGGGTAGGAGTCAAGAGCACAGGGACAAGGTCAGGCTGGCGCCATCCACAGAACCCAAGATGCACAATGGAAGAGAGAGTTGGAAACCCCCTTCTACCCTTAAACCCAAGTCCCCCTCCAGCCCCTGCTGTCTCTTTCCTCTTCTTATCCAAGCCTCTTGACAGAATGGTCTACACACACTTTTACCTTACTTCCCAAACCACCACAATATGGTTTTACCCTAACAATTTAATCAAAATCCTCTAGCAAAGTCCACGGTAGGCAGAATTTTGCCCACATGACTTTCACCCTCTGATGTTTACTCCCATAATTTCATTACATTACAGGGACTTTGCAGACGTAATTAAGGCTATTAATCAGCTGACCTGAAGATAGGTTGTTTGCCAGGTGGGTCCAATGTAGTTACACAAACCCTTAGAAACAAAGAGGAAAGCAGAGAGACTCGAACCATGGGAAAGACTCAACTGGCATTGCTGGCTTGCAGAGGGAGGCACCAGGTGGAAAGATGAGAAGAAAATGAATTTGGCCAAGAACCAGTGAGTTGGAGGAGGACCCTGGGTCCCAGTTGAGAACCACAGCCCCAGGTACTACTCTGGTGACGACACCCTGAGCAGAGAATCCAGTTACTCCACGCCGGACTTCTGACATACAGAAACTGTGGGACAGTAACTTTGTAGGTTCGAACTGCTGAGTTTATGGTATTTGTTATGGCAGCAGCTGGGAACCAATATAGTCTCCAGTGGCCTCATGTTGCCAGTCTTACTGGGTTCTTCTCAGCCTTCATTTTGACCCCTCCATGACACACAGTAATGCCAACCACTTCCTCCTTCTTGAAAACCTCTTTTTCCTCTTATTCTGTGACAATATTATCCTGACACATTTTGGCCCTCTGACAGTGACTTTTCGGGCCAAACCATCTTCCTGCCTGGTCCTTTAATGGGCATGTCTCCAAGGGCCCCACCCTTGATCCATGGTCCTCACACTTTAATGTCTCTCTCTTTCAAGCTTCCGATCTAAATGTCCATCTGCCTAATGGACATGTCCACCTGAATGCCTTGACATGTCCAAAGTCTAAGGATCTGAACCAGGGTAATAATGACTGTGGAGATGAATGGATGTGAATGGATTAGAGAAATCTGAAGGAGGCAAAATTCACAGGAGATGGTAGTTGATTGGATATGGGGATGGTGGAGAGGGAGGAGGTGAGAACTGCTTCTGGGTTTGTGGTTTGGGCGACTGGACAGATGGGGGTGCTACAAACAGAGAGGACCACAGGGCTCAGGTGAATGAAGAATTCAGTTTTGACATGGTGAGTTAGAAGTGTCATGGAACTCTCAGGTGAAGATGTACAGTGAGCCATTAGGCATTTGGATTTGCAACTTGAAGGAAGGAACTAGAGATATGGGTGCCATGTCTGTGTAGTGTGCCATCTTTGGGTACCATCTGTACATTGTGGTTGAGAAAACTGTAAGCCTACAAGAGGTAACCAATGAAAGACATGTGAGATAAGTGTGGAGGCCAGGGGTACACCTCTATTCACAGAACAGGGAGAAGAAGATGACGACAGTCTATAATGCTGAGAAGGCATTCTTGAGAGGGAGAGAGATACACTAGAAAAACCTGTCATGGAACAAGATGAAAAGTGGTTTTCAAGAAGGCGGATGTGATTAGCACCATCACAAGCCATGGAGAGGTCAAATAAGATAAAGGCTGAAGAGAGGTACTAGGTTTGGCAACATGAGGTCACTGGGAACTTTGCTAGAGGAGTTTGAATAAGTATTTGGGCGTGGGAGCTATACTGTGGTGGTTTGGGAAGTGGGGTAAAAGTGCACGCAGACCACTCTGTCAAGAAGCTTGAATAAGAAGAGGAAAGAGACAGCAGTGGTTGGAGGGGCACTTGTGGTGGAAGGGGGTTCCCAGCTGTTTCTTCTGTTGTGCATTAGGTTCTGCAGACCACCCAGAGTGGACCTTGTCCCTGGGCTCTTGACTCCTGTCCAACTGTTAACTTGACATGGAATAGATGCCAATGGGCATCTTGAACTTAACGCAATCCAGACAGGACTCTTGATTTCCGCTCTCCAGACTTCTTTTCCCTCACTGCGTATCAACCACCCAGTTGTTTCATCAAATTCCCAGCAGTCATTCCTGATTTGTCTCTTTGATTTGTTTATATCACTCATGGATATTTATCTTACTCTTTAAAAGGACATGTGAGTCTTTTTTTTGTCTTATAACCCAGTTTTAGAGAATTTTTCTAATAATAGTAAAGGTGTTCTGACATAGGGCAGTCAAAAAGGATGATAGGTGTCTACCACAGTGGGTGTTTTCAGATAGATCACATTAATAAATTGGACTTCCTCAAAGTTAAAAATGTTTGGTCTTCTAAAGACACTGTTTAGAGGATGAAAAGACAAGCGTAGACTGGGAGAAATATATTTGCAAATCACAATATGACAAAATATATAAAGAACACTAAAGCTCAATTTTATTAGGATTAGGCAATTGTTTCTTTAAAATGACACCAAAAGCACAAGCAACATAAGAAAAAATAGATAAATTACACTTCATTGAAATTAAAAACTTTTGTGGGTAAAAGGACACTATCAAGAAATTGCAAAGACAACCACAGAATGGGAGAAAATATTTGGAAATTATATGTAAAACAGGGGGCTGATATCCAGGATATATATTTTTAAAAACTTTTAAAACTCAACAATTAAAAGACCAAAAAAATTTTTTTTAATGACCAAAAGATTTGAATAGACATTTCTCCAAAGATATACAAATGGCCAAAAAGTACATGAAAAGTGCTCAATATTGTTATGAGTCAGGCATTAGGGAAATGCAAATAGAACCCACAATGAGCTACGTCACACCAACTAAGATGGCTATCATTAAAAAAACAAACAGTAAAATAATAGTGTTGGTAAAGATTGTAAAAAGTTGGAATCTTCATATATTACTGATGGGAATGCAACATGGCGCAGCTTCTGTGTTAAATGGTTTGGCAGTGCCTCAAAGTGTTAAACATAGAGTGACCATGTGACCCAGCAATTTCATTCCTAGGTATCTACTCAAGAGAAATGAAAACATATGTTGACACAAAGATATGTACAGGAATGTTGAAGGCAGCGTTATTCATAAGAGCCAAAAAGTGAAAAAGGCCAAATGTCCCCTAGCAGGGGAATGGATAACAAAATGTGGTCTATCCATACTATGCAATATTACTCAGCCATAGAAAGGAATGAGGTGGGGCGCCTGGGTGGTTCACTCGTTAAGCGTCTGAGGGTCCTGGGATCGAGCCCCGCATCGGGTTCCCTGCTCTGCGGGAAGCCTGCTTCTCCCTCTCCCACTCCCCCTGCTTGTGTTGCCTCTCTCACTGTGTCTCTCTCTGTCAAATAAATAAATAAAATCTTTAATAAAAAAGAGAAAGGAATGAGGTACTGATACATGCTACAACATGGATGAAACTTGAAAACATTATGCTAAGTGAAAAAAGCCAGACACAAAAGAACAAATATTGTATGATTCCATTTAATATGAAATACTTAGAAGAAGCAAATCCATAGGGACAGAAAATCTATTAGCGGTTGCTAGGGGATGGGTTGATGGGGGGATGGGGATTGACTGCCTAGTGTGTATGGGGTTTCCTTTGGGGTGAGGAAAAAGTTGAAAATCAGATAACAGTGATAGTTGCACTATGAATATAGTTGCATTGTGAATATACTAAAAATCACAAAATTGCACATTTTAAACGGGTGAATTTGGGGGTTTGTAAATTGTATCTCAATAAAGATGTTGCGTTTCCAAATTATAGGAACCAGAATCACTTGATCCCACTTATTTCTCAAACCTGTGCCCAGGAGCCCTTACTGTTTAGCCAGCAGTAGACTAGATGCTAGATGCCCTGAGAATGGAGAGATGAATGAGATTGCTTCAGTCTAAATGGGATCTCGGTGCTAACATGGTTCTATTTGCAGACGGTGTTAAAGCCCGTGACTCAGGGGTTAAAGAGATCCACATTGGAATCCACTGGTTAGAATCTTGAGATTGTTTGACCTTGGGCTCATTTCCCCTTTCTAGATCTATCCAAAGGGCATGATAATTGGCACTTTTTTCATATGGGAAGCGCTCGGCACCTACTAGGAGCTACAGCCGTTACAGCTCCCCCCGTCCCCTTCCCGGCTTGCGGTGGGAAGTGTACTATTATCCCGTTTTACAGCTGCGAGCACAGATGGGTCAGAAGAGAAAACCCAGGTCGTCCCCGCCTGAGGCAAGGTGTCGGATTCCCGGTCGGGAAAAGTCCGCACACACCTGTTAGTCGTGGGTTTCGGGAGCGCCTGCGTGCCGCGCGCCCCCGCCGGGACGAGCACGCGCCCGGCCCTGGCGCGCACGCGCGTGTGTCCCGGCGGTTGCCTAGCGACCGGCTAGGCAGGGGTCGCGCGGCCATGGAGAAGCCGGGCGTGACCCTGAGCGCCGCGGTCCGGGAGCACCTGAGACGCTTGTGTCTGCGCGAGTTCCCGTGCGGCACCGGCAGCTGGGTGCGGGCGCCGGCGGGCGGGGGGCGGCCCGACGAGGGACTCGGGGATCTGGGGGACGGACGGGACTGAGCAGGGGCGGGCGGGGCGGGGCCGAGGGGCCGCCAGCCGCAGGACGTGGCTCATCTGGAGAAGCCGGGGGGATGGGGGGTTGGACCTGGGCATTTAGGGAGCGGGCTGACCTGAGGTGGGGGCTGGGACACTGCTGGGGCCGACGGGATGGCTCCCCCGCGGCGCCCCTCCCCCGCCCCGTCTGTGGGCCTGACCCAGAGAGGAGGGCAGGACCCCCAGCCTGAGCACATCAGGCTGACCTGGGGTAGGGCTTCTCAGTCTGTTAAAGACACCAGGCCCCTTTTGGGGTGAAGAGCCTTTGCCTGGGCCAAGCGCTTCCTGACCTTCAGGTGCCCCAGATCTCGCAGAGCGAGAGCCCCCAGGCCCAGGGCCGCAGGGTCCTGAGCAGGCCCTGTTCTGAGGCCTGCAGAGGCTGGTGGGTCTGGGAGAAGGGGCTTCCTCCCTCCCTTCGTGTCTCCTTGTGTCTAAGGCCAGAAACACTTCCCTTCCAAGGCTTCTCCCTGGGGAGCAAGTGGTGGCTCAGGAGGGCTAGAGCAGGGGTGTCTCCCCCCGCATCAGCTAGGTGCTCCTGCTGGGGATGAGGAGCATGACAATGACAACCTGCCGCCCCTCAGATGTGCACAGGACTATCTTGGGGGACTGGAATGTTTCCCTCCCACTTGCTGAAAAGCTGGCGCCCCCCACACTGGTAAGGGGCTAAGGGGAGGTCAGTGTTCCCATTTTCATAGAGGAGAACGCCGAGACACCAGTCAAGGAACTAAATCATTTGTTTGTTTCATCAACAAACATTGTTGCACACCTCCTGTGTGTGCCTGGCATCCATGCAGAGCTTTGGGGTTGCACGGATGTCTCTCAAGAGTCTCCTGGAGGAAGGGCTGGGAGAAAGTCAACTCTGGGACTCATCCTTTCATCATCCACTGGCATCTCAATTCTGAATTCATCTTTCCAGCCTTGCCCCTTCGTCCTCAAAAACCTTTCCTTGGTTAATACATCCCCCAGAGGGCCTTTCGCACCTCCTAGCTTCTAGTACATAAATCTTTCTGAAATGTTTGGTTGCTTTCCCCTGCTTCTTCAAGGTTCCCAGCTTGAGTGAACTCTTAAAGGCCGGAATGTAGTTCTCGGTCTGTAGTTCTATCCGTGGCTAATAATCAGTCAAAATTATTGACTACTCACCGTCTAAACGTCTAAACTCTTTGTCTCTGATTGTCCTATCTTACGATCTGCTCTATTTGGGGAGTCTCGAATCCTTGAGAGGGGCTGAGCGACTGAGTAGCGAAATTCTCCACCTCCACCACTGCAGAATAAGTCACGCTTTCTTCCTCGAACTTGGCGAACATGGAAGGAGCTGGTCCCCAGAGAGGAGGAGGCCGTGAACCCTGGGGAGGAGACCGTGGAGGCACTGCTGGGCCTGGTCCGCAGCCCCCACTCACCCTGGGCTCTGCTGGAGGGCTCCAGTGCAGAGGACCATTTTCTGAGAGAACTGGCCATCCAGAATCCCCTGGTGCTCAAAGACACCTTCTTCTACTCCTACTTCAGGTCCCTACGGGTGGTGGACAAGCAGGTAAGAGCCGGGAGTTGCTGCTGGGGAGGCCATTCGCCCTACAGAATTGTACAGTCCTTAGTGGTGGGTCCTCAGTGTTAAGTGGGAGGAAGGATGGGAAGGTAGCTGTGCCCCCCGAATTGATTTCACCGGTCCCCCCACCAAGCAGGGCCAGCTGCGCATTTGTTGGTGTCTTCTTTCTTCACCCCCCGAGAGGGGGGTCATCCAGGTGTGTCTTGTAGAGCTGACTTCCGGTGCACCCTGCAGTCGGCCCTCCTGGGTCCTAGAAGAGACGTTTAAAGTGCCTGTATTGGTTTTACTTAAACTGTGGGGGCCTGGGGTTAGGGAGGGTTGGCATGGTACCGTATTAGTTTCTGTTATGAAAAAGGCTTCTTCGCTGCTGCCAAATAACGGAGCCCCAAACTGCAACCTCAGCCTTCCTACCTTTCCTTCTCCTTCCCCAGAGAAACTGTGAACTTACACAGTACCAGGCATGAGGAGTGAGAGCCACTCCTACCAATTTGCTGGGACCTTCCCCGTGTCCGCTCTGAAAGTTTTGTGTCCTAGGAACCCCTCAAACCTGGGCAGACTGGCACAGTCACCAGGAAGGGCCCTAGTGTCTTTGAGGTCACAAACACCCGAGGATTCACAGATGGACCCCTCGGAACTTCGGGTCTGACCCTGCTGGGCGTCCGCCAGCCATTCCTTACAGCCTCGGGGTCCACTGTGGCCCAGGGGTAGACAGCAAAGAACATGGCATCCCTGCCCTTGGGAGCTCACAGTCCAACAGGGGACACAGGACACTGAGCTGGAAGTTGGACAACACCTCGGGGGGGCGGGGTGAGGGCAAAGAGGTGAGAGATCCCCGCCGGGGTCGAGGCACAGGGGTCCTGGTGGGATGTGCAGGGGAGCAGCTCAGGAGGTCAGTGAGGGGGAGGATGGGGGTTGGCGTGTGCGACGCGACTCCCTCAGGAGGGGAAGTGGCTGTCGCTGTCCTCCTGTGGACCCCATTTCTGCTCCACAGCTGCCTCGCCCACGAGAGCGCCTAGCTTCCTGCCCCCTTCCCTTCCAGGTGAGCCTGGTGGATAAAGGTCTCCTGAAATTTCAGAAACTTGAAGAGTTGGTACTGAGTGCCAATCAAATCAAGGAGATCGACGCCGTCAACCTGCCCCCAACCCTCAAGGTAAAGGAGCCCAGGCTCCATGTAGCATCTTTGTTCTGGCGCAGCCCAGAGACCCTGCCCCTGCCTTGTCCTGCCACCCAAAGCTTCAGCCAGTGTGGCTGTATGCCAAGCTTTGGAAAGGGAGGCCAGAGTCCTCAAAAAAGTAGAATTTCTGTGTGACCCAGCAATGCCATCTCTAGGCATATGCCCCAGAGAATTGAAGGCAGGGACTGAGATTCTTGCAGCCAAAAGTGGGGCCAACCCAAATGTCCATCCACAGATGAGTGGGTAAACAAAATGTGGTCTCTCCATACCGTGGGATGTTGCTCAATCAGAAAAGGAATGAGTCATGCCGCAGCATGGATGAAACTTGAAAACATGATGCTGAATGAAAGAGGCCAGACCCAAAAGGTCACATATTAGGTGATTCAACTTGCACGAAATATCTAGGAGAGGCAAATCCACAGGGACCGGAAGCAGAGCAGAGGTTACTAGGGCAGGGGTGAGGGCGATGGGGAGTCACTGCGGTACACGACGGGTACCCACTGTGATGGGCACAGAGCATCCGTCTGGGGTGATGAAAACTTTCAGAAATAGGAGTGATGATGTTGGCTGCATGATGATGGGACCCCACGTAACGCCGCTGAACGGTACACTTACAAGTAGGGAAAATGGCAAATCATAAATATTTTGCCACAGTAAAAAAAAAAATCATTTTAAGAAAAGCTAGCCTGGGCTTTATTATGAATTTTCTGCTGAACCAACCAAAATGGTCTCAATTTTAAATTAAATGTGGAAATTCATAGATTTTTGTGGCAGAAGGGACTCAGAACTATGGCTCAGTGCCAGGCCTAGGAAGAAACCAGGCGAGGCCTCGGAGCAGAAATCCAAGAATGCTCTGTTATCCTCCAGTGAGTCCTTACTCCAGCCAGGGGCCCTTTGGCTTTCCCAGAGACAGGCTGCCGTGGGCTGGGCAGTTGCCAAATTGCTATGCCTGTCCCCATCCACTCCACCATCCCCTCCCATGCCGAATTTCCACGTGTCCTTCACAAAAGGAAAAGAAACTTTCTAACACCTGCTGCAGAAATATTTGTTCCCCATATTTTATTTTATTTTATTTTTTAATTTATTTTGAGAGAGTGAGTGAGAGAGAGCATGAGAAGGGAGAGGGAGAGGGAGAAGCAGGCTCCCGCTGAGCCAGGAGCACAATGTGGGGTTCGATCCTGGGACCCCAGGATCACAACCTGAGCCAAATGCAGACACTTAACCGACTGAGCCACCCAGGCGTCCCTTTCCCCCATATTTTAAAGGGAGCCCGGGTGGGCGCAGGGCAGCCTGGTATGAGAACTTCCCCGTTCCACCCGCTGTTTCTCAGGGAGGGAGGGAGGAGGACGGATGGACTCAGAGGCCCGTTCTTTCTGCTCCTCCCAGGTGCTGGAGCTCTACGGCAACAAGATCAGCAGTCTGAAGTGTCTGTGCACTAGCCCGCCCCCTTTTCTCCAGCACTTGGGGTTGGGTCAGAACAAGCTTCTGGGCCCCTTGGAAAGTCTGTATGTCACCGCGGATCACTGGTAACTCAAGAGCCCGGGATGGAAAGAGAGAGAAGGGCTTAAGCCTTAGGTTTGGGGGGTGCCTTGAAGAACTCAGCTTTGCTCTTTTCTATAATAACTGCTGGTTGGCTGTCAGCTCCAGAGCTAGGATTCATGTCTCTGACTGAATAAGCCAAACTTCCCACTGCAGCCCAGGGAAGGATTACAAGAGGTGGCGGGAGTGGGTCAGACCTTTCGCTTTGAAGCTTTTAGAGCAGGGCTGCCGACATCGGAGTGGGCAACGGTTGGTTGTGGGGCTGTCTCATGTGGCATCCCTGGCCTCCACCCACTAGCTGCCAGGAGACCCCCACACCAGTTGTAACCACCCAAAGTCTGTAGACTCATGCCATGGCCAGAGTACCGTGTGTTCTGATTTTTTATTTGGAAAACATACTTCCTCTAAACCGAGGTAACCTGCTTCATGCCAGGTGTGAGTTTCATAAAAACACGTAAGTGAAACCGCTGTCTTTCACTGCCTTGAAATTCACAAAGGAGGCTACCCTGCTCACGGATCGGTTTTGCTGATGTCTTCCCAGTCTTCTTGAAGGCTGACATTGGATAAGGTCCATGGGCTGACCTCATGAGATGTGTTTCTCGGGTGTTTCCCACTGACTGGCTGCCCGGGGCCAGGAAAGCAGGGCAGGAGGGGAGGGGAGGTGCCCAAGTTCAGTCCACTGGAGACCGGAGGGTATGACGTGCTGATGACATGCCCCTTGCGTTCTTCTTGCTGCTGTGTCAGAGCTGGGACCAGTTTGCTCTGTGCAGTGGGGAGAGCACCCGTGCCCCCCTTCCTGGCCCTTTCCTCCAGACTGGGATGGAGGGCGCCTCCCTTGTCCTCACTGGCGTGTTCTTCTTCACTCATGTGCCCCCAAGACATGAATCACAGGGCTTCCTACGACCATGAGCCAGTGGGGCCTTTGGAAGGCGTCCTCCAGCTTCTGCACCCCTCAAGTTTCACGCACCCTCTTCCCAGGTCCCCATATTTACCGGCCCCTCTTACCCCACCCACTGCTCCTCCCCACTGGCTTCCTTCTGTCTTCCTTGCCACTGTCAGTCTTTGTTGAGAACCTTCTAGATGCACAATGCTGTATCAGGATCTCTGGGCAGTACCAAGAGTTTAACTGAGAAGAGATCTGTGTAAATGGAAGTCATTGCAGGCAGGAGGTGACCAGGGCCATCTCTATGTCACACTGAGGATGGCAGTGTCATGGGGGGGGGAGGGGATAGTAGAACCAAGAGGTGCTTCTCAACAGGGGGGCAAACTTGAGTCAAGAGCAGCTAACTTGGGAGTCGGGACTGGGGCTCCTATCCCACCCTCAGCACGGGCCTGCTGTCTGTCCTGGACATGGGGTGCTGGGGGGTGTTGAGCAGGGCGGGCCCGGCGCGTGACCACAGCTGCCTGTCCCCATCCCCACGCTCACCCTGCCTCTGACTCCTGGATGGCCCTGCTCCCCTTCGAGGCCCAACCTCATCTCTCTGGACCTGAGCTTCAACGACCTGACGGACCTGCAGGGCATGATCGCCAGCCTCAGCACCCTCCCACACCTGCGGCTGCTCGGGCTGCAGGGGAACCCCCTGGCCCTGGTGCCCTACTACCGAGGCTTCACCATCGACAGCCTGTCCGGGCTCTGCGTGCTGGACGACATCACCGTGTCTCCCAGTGAGAAGCATCAGTTCCGGGGGCTCAGCCACAGTGGGGGTGAGGGAGCGGATGGGCAAGGGGGGAGGGGCTGGCGTCTGCTCACTGGCCCACCATGGAACTGGGTGGCCTGTCCCGGCAGCTCCCCAGTTAGTCAGGGGTAGCTCACCTTCTTGGGCACGTTCTCTCCCAGATTTTTGATCTCTGTAATTGGGGTTTGGGGACAGAAGTGGTAAGGAGGCTGAGACCATCCTAGGCCAACAGGAAACATTCTTTCAATTTCTTTACTTTTGTGATGGCTTGAGATCACCCCCTGGTGGCCCATGCCGCAAGCCGCATCAGAGCCTTCTCAAGGTGAGGGTGACGGAACATGGGTCATCAGAGCTTCCTGTGTGCGGGCTGCGCTAAGGCAACACCGATTCTTCATCTGTAACCATCCTGCAAAGGCAGCTACTATCGTTCACATTATACAAATCCGGAAAACAAGGCTTAAGGGCGATATCTTACCGAAAAGGGACTTACTCCAAATCACTGTGCTTTAACTTCGCAGAACTGGGATTTGAACCCAAGTCTGCCAACTTCGAGGCTCAGCCCCGCCTGCAGGGAACCGGCTGGGCCTGCCCTCCCCTGCTGTCCCCCTCACTTCTGCCCCGTCCCCTTGCAGACCTCTTGGCCCATGAGGCCCAGCTCGTGGTGACTATTGGAAATGTCAAGGGCGTTCTGGACACCTCCATCCTGGACCCGGAGCCGGGGCCTCAAGGCCCTTTTATTACTTACAGCTACTACGTGACCTACGATTTTGTGGAAGACGAAGACGGAGAAGGAAGTGATTACGGTGGCGTGCTGGCTGAGGTGTGTGCCCCGCGGGCTGCTCCCGGGCACTGGGGCGCATGCGCTGCACTTGGCTCCCCAGGGTCTCCTGTGCAGGCAGAACCGCTTCTTGGGGCCCAGAAAACCCCTTTCCTCGGAGCTTTCTGGTTCACACCCTACTTACTCTGAGAAGGGAAGCGGCTCTGTTCAGCCCCTTTCTTGCAGCTCCAGTTACTCACCTGTGTTCACCTCCTTCCTTTGCCCTTGAAATCCGAGCAAACGGCCTCACAAGGGGGCAACATTTACAACCAGGCCGGTTGCTCCCCACCCCATGCTTCTCCCCTCCTCTTCCGTCGCCCTTCTCAGGGAAAGCAGACGCGAGGGTATCATGCGACCAGGAGAGATGGGGGACACCCTACCTCCTGCAGAAATTGTCACTGTTCCTACTCCTATCATAGGCCTCTCAGAAGGGCCAAGATGGGCACTTTTTTTAAACCTCCTGCCCAAGCCCGCTTCCAGTTCACCGCGGCGCGGGCACCTGTTCACGCACATGCGCGCTGCGCGCGAGGAGAGGCCTGCGCGCAGCGCCGGGCGCGGGTGTCTGGCTCTCTCCCGCAGATCGTCAGGCCGTCGCCCAGCATGGAAGAGCTGGGCGAGGACATTCCCGAAGAGGTCTTCGAGGAGGCTGAAGACTCGCTGGAGTCCGGGCTGTCCACCCAGTCGGGAGAGCTGGAGGGTTCGGTGGCCTCGGGCGGGTCGGGGCCCTTGCCCAGGGTGACCGACTCCGCCGAGGAGCTGGCCAAGTTGCGGCCGCGAATGGACCCCCGGCTCTGCCCCTCCCCAGGGTAAGGACGGCGGCCGCGCGGGAGCAGGGCCTGGGGGCCTGGGGGGCCGCGCGGGAGCAGGGCCTGGGAGCCTGGGGGGCCGCGCGGGAGCAGGGCCTGGGAGCCCGGGCTCCCGCGAGCTCGGCCCGACAGCGGCCCCTGGGGACCCTCTGGGCCGGCGGCCGCGCAGGTGCGGCCGGGTTCGGTGGTCGAGGCCCCGGGAGCGCCCCCCCCCCCCCCCCCGGAGCGCAGCTGCGCCTTTGTCCCTGGACGCTCAGCTGACCTGAAGGCTGGGCTTTCGTTAGTCGGCGCAGAGGTGAGAGAGGGGCAGCCCTTCCCCTCCGCCCTCGGAGTTGAAAAGCTCCTCGGTTTAACTTTTTAATTCTAATGGAATTTATTCTGGCGTCTGACACGTGGTGTGGATCTCGCAGCCTGAGTAGCAGGTGCTTTCTCACCCTCCGAAGGCCCCCGTCACGGGCCGCGTGCGTATCACATGTTGTGTCTTATTTGATAATGAATCTTTTTCGATGATGAAGAATTTTACAAGAATTCAGAGTCACTTCTCATTGAGTCTTGAAGCTCCGTTAACTGGTTCGGTAACTCGCTTCAAAACATGGAGCCTGGTTTGCGAACTTCCTGCCATCAGCTGGTGGTGTCACCTGATTCTTCTGACGGCCAGAGCCCCGAAAACAGGAGTTGCAACCGAGTTCTAATGAACTGAGCTTTCGCCCCACGCAGATTTTGCTGCCGATGCCCTCAAGGAACTGGGAAAACGAGTTTCTCTTGAAGCTAAAAGAGTTATTATTATTATTTTTTAATTATTTAACTTCCACCGAGGGTAAAGGATTCAGGCTTGTGGAGACTCTGAGGGGGCTGCTGTGGGCCCCTGTGCTGAGTTCCCGTGGGTGACAGAACGAGGGAGGAGGCTACCCCAGCTGTCAGAAGAGCGGGAGCCCCCAGCCAGCCCCGAGCCAGGCTCCCTGGTTAACCCCAGCCTTGTGGTCCTGGTCGCTGTGGTGGTGGTGGTTGTTGAATTTTTGGAAATAGTAACCATACAATAGAACCACAAATGATTCTGCCTTAAAAAATATGTCAATTAGAAAATAAAAGTTTCTCCTCCTGCATCCATCAAACTCATCCCATAGAGTGAATTACCCTTTTATTTATTTATCTACTTTAAGTAGGCTCTATGCCCAATGTGGGGCTTGAACTCAGGACCCCCAAGATCAAGAGCTGCATCCTCTCCCGAGTGAGCCAGCCAGGCGCCCCAGAATGAATTACTCTGAATAGTTTTGTGCATCTAGTTCCCTGTTTCTTCTTACACGGTCATATATGCGAACATATATACTCCTATAATTTTTTTTCTCAAAAAATGAACTCCTGTTCTGTGTCTCAGTTCGAAATGTGCTGATTCTGCATGTGGCACTGGACACACAGACCTGTTCTATTATTTTATTACAAAATAAATGATTCAAATGTAACCCACATATCCGGAAGTATCCACCTTACAGCCAAATGATGAGGGCCCCCAGGCAACCACTGCCCTTGACAAGAAACACCAGAACCTCCGAAGACTCCTTAGGCCCCTCCCTCCTTCCTAAGGGTCACTGTCAACTCAACTAACACCATGAACTCGTGTGCCTCTCTTCAGCCTTTCTGTAAATGGCATTGGGCAGTAATCCTGTGTGTCTGGCCACCTGTCACGCTGTGCGCACATCTCCTCACAGGCCTCGCCCTGGTCCCAGCCACGGCCTCCGGGTGACGGCCCCCCTGTCTTCCTCTGCCCTCCCCAAGGACGGTTCTCTTCAGCACCATCCGCAAGCCCTGGACTGATGTCATCGCCTGCAACTACGAGATGCACCACACGCTCAGGGACCTGCTGCCCCTCAAGGCCTTCCTGCTGGCGGGGACCACCGTGACCATCGTGGAAGAGAAGGTGGGTGACCCGGGCTCCCGTGTTCCGGGCTCCTGTCAGGGCATCACCAGGGGCCCTGCTGCCTTATTGGCGACCTCAGCGCCTTTCCAGCAAGATCCCAGCCAGCCCCCAGCCGCCTGCCGTCACTCGCGGCCACCTCGCCATCCCCTAGATTCTCTCCTGGCCTCTGGTGCCTCCGCCTGTCGAGACTGTGTTGCCTGCCAAGAAAGGAAAAGGGGAGAAGGACAAGAAGGGGAAGAAGGACAAAGACAAGAAGGACAAGGCCGGGAAAGGGGAGAAAGAGACGGCGCCGAAGGTACCTGCTGGACTGCCGGGGGCGCTCTGGGCCCCATCCCTGCCGGGGACACATCCACTCTCCCCGCCTCTCCCCACAGGAGCAGAAGGCGTCCAAGAAGAAGGAGCTTCCCAAGGAGCTCCGCCAGGACCCGCCCATCCTGCGGGTGCTGGGCAGCGGCTTCGTGGCCCTGGAGCCCCTGCTGGTGGGGGAGCCACTGGTGTCCGAAGTGTGCAACTTCGGGGTGATCCGCACCCTGGAAACTGACAGGCTGACCTTTCTCAGGGTACGGGGGGGCCCTGCCACACCCCTCCCCACCGAAACAGTGCTGGGCAGGGAAGGGCTGTGCGGGGGGCCCTGAGAGGCACGGGGTGGGGGGCGGGTGGTAGGGGCGGGGAGGGCCTCTCCTTCAGCCATGCGGTGGTGCCCAGCTCCCAGCGTTACGGGCCCAACGCCGTGGGCGGCCTTCTCAGGTGTGAGGAGTCTGGCCAGTGGGCAGGTCAGGCCCGCTCCTCCCTGGGAGACCTGCCCCCCCTTCCTGGGCCACCGGCAGGATCTGCAGCCACCCCTTCCCCAGTATCCCCCAACTCCAGTAAGCCTCTCCTGTCCTGGTTCTTTCTCTCAGGATGCAAAGAAGAACAAGAACAAGAAAGCTAAAAAGGGTAAGATCTAATGATGGTAACTGGGAGCAGGGAATGTTTCCTGAGGACCTTAGTCTGTTCCCACTGTGATAACAAGTCACAGCCTGGGGGGCTTATAAACAACAGACATTTATTTCTTGCAGCTCCGGAGGCTGGGAAGTCCAAGACCAAGGTGGCAGCGTCGTTAGGTAAGGGCCCTCTTCCTGGCTCGTAGCCAGCCCCTTCTTGCTGCGTCCTCACGTGGTGGAAGGGGCACAGGGACTCTCTGGAACTTCTTTTGTAAGGATACTAATCCCATTCATGAGGCTCTACCCTCACGACCTCGTCACCTCCCAAGGCCCCATCTCCTAATACCATCACTTCTGGGGGTTAGGATTTCAGCGTGTAAATTTTGCAGGGACACAAACATTCAGACCGTAGCAGGACCTGGGGAAGGATCAGCCTGATTTGGGACCAAGGAAATGGAAGGACGGAGAATCCTATCTTCTGGGCAGCGGGAAGGCCATGCCCACCCTAAGGACCCAGCCCTCCCTCTTTCCTGAATCCCCGAGACAAGAGCAGCTGCTGCAGGTCATGCTAAGGGCAGGAGAGGCAGCCTGGGGTAGGAGGCAGGTGAGGTGGGAGAGGGGGCTGAGTTGGGCCTGGCCCAGGGTCCTTCTGGCCCAGCAGTCTGGTGCCTGTTTCAGGTCATTGGTCCTATTTGCCCAACGAGGAGTCTGGGCTTGTTCTGTGAACAGGGGGCAGTCACTGAAGTGTCTACAATAGGTAAGCTTTAGATCTGAGCTGTAGAAAGAACCGGCTGGCTTGGAAGGAGCGATAGGAGACAGGGGACCAGCTGGGAGGCTACTGCGAAGTATAAGGCCAGGTCAGAGCAACACTGTTCCCGACAGCCGGAAAGTGCAAACGGCCCAAGGCCCATCAGTGGATGAATGCCCAGATGTGGCATTTCCACACAACAGGGATTCCTCAGCAGCTGAAAAGGAACAATGCCCGGCATGTGTATAGCCTGAGGAACCTTGAAAACATGATGGTGAGGAAAGAAGCCAGTCACAGAAGGCCACATAGTGTTTGATTCCGTTTATGTGAAATGTCCCAGGGCAGATGAATCCATAGGGACAGAAAGTAGATCAGTGGGGGCTGGGGGAGGGGTTGACTGCTAATGGGTACAGGGTTTCCATGTGGGGGGATGAAATGTTCTGGAATTACATCATGGGAATGGTTGAACAATGCTGTGAATATACTAAAACCCACAGAAGTATACATTTAAAAATAGTTAAAATGTTGACTATTATGAAAATTTTATCTTGATGAAAGGAAGTTCACCTAAACAAAGCAAAACAATGTATAGGCAAGAAATGCTAAGGGCCTGACGTGGAAATGGACGGCAGAGGTGGTGTGGAGGGAACAGGTCCGACAGTGACTGGGGGGCACGGGGGGCAGGAGAGGCTTCTGCCTGGGGCCTGCAACGCTGTACCCGGGGCTGGGCTTGGTTTTGCACCTGTGAAGTTGAAGTGTCTGGAGCGTCCAAGAGCCTTTCCCTCTCCTGCCCCTTGTCTCCCGATGCCTTCTCCATCTCCTCTGCCACCACCCCAGACAACCACCATTGCCACCTTGCTGCACCTCCTTCCTCCCACATGGCCACTCTGTCGGCTCCCCCGCGGCCACCAGGGCGACCGGGTTTGCAAGTCCGGCTGAGTCACCCCCCTGTTGGAATTTCTTCCATGACTTCCTGCTGGCTGCATCACAAAAATCCAGATTTCCATGTTCTATAAGCCCCCGAGAGTTCTGCTTGGCATACTTTATCTGCCACTGTTTACTCAGCTACTCCATCTGCCAGATCTCAGCTTCAGTTGCCTTCTTCAGGGAAGCTGATCCTCTGGATTAGGGTGGGCTCCCTTTTTTTCTTCATAGCATTTGATGGGTTTTGTTGTTTTGGTTTTGGGGTTTTTTTTTAAGGGATTTTATTTATTTGTCAGGGAGAGAGAGCACAAGAAGGGGGAGCAGCAAGTAGAGGGAGAAGCAGGCTCCCCGTGGAGGAAGGAGCCCGATGACGGACTTGATCTCAGGACCCTGGGATCATGACCTGAGCTGAAGGCAGATGTCTAACCAACTGAGCCACCCAGGCATCCTGAATCCAGTGTTTTCATCTGTAGTACTCAGCACCGTGCAAACTATAGAGATATGAATCCATGTAATTGTTTTATTTTTATTTTGCCCACTACACTGAAACTATAAGTGTGTGTGTGGGGGACTGCCCCTGCATTCTTTAAAGTCATACGATCCCCAGTCCCCAGCATAGTAGGCTCATAGTAGGCCATCAACATTGATTGAATGAATGAATCAGCTTATAGGTGGTATTTAAAACCATGAAAATATGTGTGCTTATGTTGACAGAGAAAAGGATTGAGCCCAGCACCCTGGGGTACTCTACAAATTTTGAGCAGGAAAGGACAAGACCTGGAAGGATCACATTTAACCATGTCCTAAAGCAAAATTCAAAGATATTGTAAGGAATACAAAAATAGCACGCCAGGTGGGGCACCTGGGTAGCTCAGTCTGTTAAGCATCAGACTCTTGATTTCAGCTCAGGTCATGATCTCGGGGTCATGAGATCAAGCCCCACATTGGGCTCTGTGCTTAGCGTGAAGTCTGCTTGAGAGTGTCCTCTCCCTTTCCCTCTGCCCCTCCCCCCACTTGCACACACTCTCTCTCTCCAAAATAAATAAAATCCTTAAAAAAAAATAGCACCCAAGGTAAAATTCACATATGCCATCCAATTAAAAAAAAAATCAGACATGCAGAAAATTCAATATATAATGAGAATTTATAAATCATAACTGACTCAGAAATGACATATATGTTAGAATTAGTAGACAAGGACATTAAAGCAGTTATTATAATTATATTCCATATATCTAAGAAGCTAAAGGAAAGATGGTGGTATGTAGCAATATGGACTATAAGCCAAACTTTTAGGGATGAAAACTACCATGTCACATTAAAAATACATTTACTGGGATTAATGGCATATTAGACAATTTAGAAAAAAAGTTTAGTAAACTGGAAGCAGTAGAGACTATCCACAATTAAACTCAGAAAAATGGCTGGAAAAAATGAACAGAGCATCAGTGAATTTTGAGACAAATTCAAAGGAACTGATGTCCATATAGTTGGAGTCCCCAAAGGAGAGTGGGGTAGGCAGAGAGAATATCTGAAGAAGTAATTGCTGAAACATTTCCAAGTTAGATGGAAATTATAAATAAACCAATCCAAAAAGTTCAGTGAACTCAAAACACAAGAAGCATGAAGAAAACTAAACCAAGCTAGATAGTAATAAAACGGCTTAAAATCAGTGATGAAGACAGAGGAACAAAGATAAAGATGACAGCAGTCTTATCAGGAAAATACCAAATAGAAGACAGTGAAAGACTTCTTAAACACTCAAAGAAAAATAACTATCAACTTAAAATTCTTTACCTAACAAAAATATCTTCCAAAAACAAAAGTGAACTGAACACTTTTCTAGACATACACATGCTGAAAGAATGTATCACCAGCATACTTGTATTACAAGAAATGTTCAAAGAAGTCCTTTAAGCAGAAGAAAATACTAGATGGATCTGGATCTGCACAAAGAAATCAAGAACACTAGAAATGGTAACTGTGGTTAAATATAAAGACTCCTTTCTTAGTATTTAAATATGTTTAAGTGATTGCTAATTGTTTAATGAAAAAATGTATTGCAGTGCTCATAACACCAGTAGAATGTATAACAACAGCAAAAAGGCTAGGGTTGGGAGTAAGGAAAGAAATGGAAGTGTATCACTGTAAGATTCCTATTTCTACGTGAAGTGGTATAATATCACTTGAAGCCAGACTGCGATAAGTTAAAGATATTTATTATAAACTCTAAAGTAACCATTAAAATGATACAACAAAAAGTTCTAGCTAATAAGCCAACAAATGAGAGAAAAGAGGGATCATAAAGATACTCAGTTAATCTAAAAGGAGGTGGAAACAAAAAAGAAACAGAACATGTGAGATAAATAGAAAACAAATAACAAGATGGTAGACTTAAACCCAATCATATCAATAATCACATTAAATGTAAATGGTCTAAACACCCAATTAAAAGGCAGAGATGTTCTGATTGGATAAAAAAGTAAGACCCAACCACATGCTGCTTACCAGAAATCCACTTTAGATATAAAGATACAAAAATATTAAAAAATAGAGAAATATATTCATGCTTACACTAATAAAAAAGGAGCAACTATTAATATCAGACAAAATAGACTTCAGAGAAAGACTATTCCCAGGAATAAAGAGGGTCATTTCATAATAATAAAGGAGTCAAGAGGATTTAACAAACCTAAGCATGTATGCACCTAATAATCGAGCTTCAAAATACATGGGGGAAAAAAACCTGATAGAACTACAAGGAGAAATAGGCAAATCCAAAATTATATTCAGAGATTTCAATATACCTCCCTGAGTAATTGATAGGACACATAGACAGAAAATCAGTAAAGATGTAGGAGACTTGAATCACACTGCCAATCAATTTAAGGTAACTGACATCTATAGAGTACCTCACCCAATAACATGAAAATACACATTCTTTAAGTGCACACAGAACCAAGATATTCCATAATCTGGGCCATAAATAAAGTCTCAATAAGTTTAAAACAATTCAAGACATACAAAGTACCCTATCCTCTGTGACCATAGTGGAATTAAATTAGAAATCAGTAACAAAGATATTTGTAAAATCTCCCAATTTTTAGAAACTAAATAATGCACATCTAAATAACCCATGGACCAAGAAGAAATCAAAAGGGAAATTTAGAAAATATTTTGAACTGAATGAAAATAAAAATATAAAATGTCAAAAATAGTAAAACTTAAGTAAGCCAGTATTCATAGAGAAATTTATAGCACTAAATGCCTATATTAGAAAAGTTTCTGGGTTGCCTGGGTGCCTCAGTTAGTTAAGCATTTGCCTTCAGCTCAGGTCAGATCTGGGGTCCTGGGATCGAGCCCCATATTGGGCTCCCTGCTCAGTAGGGCGTCTGCTTCTCCCTCTCCCTTTCCCTCTGCCCCTCCACCCCACTCAAGCTCTCTCTTGCTCTCTCGCAAATAAATAAATAAAATTTTAAAGAAAAGGAAAGCTTCTAAAACTAAATTTAATAGGGCTGTAGGATACAGGGTCAGTATTCAAGAAATTAAATGTATTTCCATATACTAGCAATGAACAATCAGATAGTGAATTTTTACAATGGCATTGAAAAATATGAAATAGGGATAAACCTGACTAAGGATGTGGAAGTCTTGTATTCTGAAAACTACAAAACGTTACCAAGGGGAATCAAAGACTTAAATAAATGGTGGGGTAAATATGTACATGGATAGGGAATTCAGTATTGTTAAGATGTTGGCTTTCCTCAAATTGATCTATAATTCAAGCTAATCTCAATCATAATTCTAGGGGGATTTTTTTTTTCTCGTAGAAATCAGTAAGTTGATTCCAAACTTAATATGGAAATTCAAAGGACCTAGAACAGCCAAAAGAGCTTTGAAAAAGAACAAAGGACATACACTGCTGGACTTCAGGACCCATTCAAATATGGACATCTGATTTATGATCAAGCCACAGGGTTAAGATGGTCTCAAATTTTTTTTTACACTTTTGCAAATCTTTTTATTGTCTGGCTTAATTGACAGTTGCATTGGAATAGCTGCCTCTGCTGTTACTCTCTTGTGTTGCAGTGTTTGAAGTGTATGAAGAAAATCCAATCTCATATGGACATGTAACTGTAAAAGGGAATATGTTAAAATAGGTTTTCAAATAACTGGATATTTTTCTTTGATATTATGTCAAATTTGACAACTAGTAGTTTTTTTAAAGGCTGTTACAGAGGGGAAAACAATCTATATGAATGCATTTTTTCGTAGTCATTATGTTAAAATCCATTGGTCTACATTGCCATTTTTTCACTGCATTTTGAAAGGCTATCTTACTCATGCACAATTTGTAACATCAGGCATTGGTTATTTGTAAAATACTGGTTCACTGAGTTATGCAGATCTTCCAACTGTTGACACATTTCATTATACATTCCACAAATCACATTCTTTATCAGCACCCATATCATTAGAAGAGTCCTTGAGTATTGGGAAACTGTTAGGTTCATGGTGGCAGATACAGTGTTTCCAAATTCTAATTTCTACTTGAAAGCTCAAATGTTATAAATTTAACAAAATGCTTTGCGTTGTTTTCCCGGAAATGCCAGACTGCGTTCGCTTTTTAGAAAATAACCTGCCAAATATTCACGTCTGAATAACCGCGGTTTGTCAGTGTTCTTTCAAGTGAGGACGGTGATCCAGGACAAGCCGCGGGTTCCGCTTGCAGCTCAACACAGCTGCGCCTTGTTCAGTGATGTGATTAGATGCGATTTCGCTGTGTTCCTCCCTACGGTTAAGACCCAAGACCCGAGGGTGGAATCTCGGATTCCCAAACCGCGCTCCGCCTGGAGCCCGTCCAGGGCGGCCGAGAAGACTCACGTACTCACATACTCGGGACTCACATACTCGTGTTTTTATTTCTCAGAAAAAAAATCTGCGGCTCCGAAGTACGACAGCGACTACCAGCCCCAGCCGCTGACGGTGGAGGTGCAGATCCAGCTGAGCCAGTACCGCTCGGCCGAGGAGGCGCTCCGGGAGATCGCCCTGTAGGCGCCGGATTAAAGGCTCTTCGGACCACCGCGAATCCGCGTCCGTGCGGCCGCCGCGTCGGGGAGCGGGGGGCCGGCAGGGGGCGCGGGGCGGCCTCCGCCCGCAGGGGCGCAGCGGGCGCGCGAAGCCCGGTGTGGGAGGGGTCCCGCGGCGCCCCGGAGCCCCGCCCCAGCCGAGCGGGCGGAGCGAGGCTAGAGCCCGGGTCCCGGCTCGGCTGCGCGAGCTCCTCGCCCGTCCCTGGCCCGCGTCCCGGCTCAGGTAGGTCCGCTGGGGGCGGGTTGAGCGGGCCCGGGAGCGCCTGGGGCCGCCGCGGCGGGGTCAGGCGCGTCTCCCTGGGCCGGAGGGGCCCGCGCATCCGCGAGGACGCGGGGTCGTCTCCCCCAGTGGGCCGTCGGGGCCAGGCGGCCTCCTGCTGCCCCTCGGCTTCTGCTCGCCCGCCGGGGCCCGAACGGCCGGAACCGGGCCTCGTGGGCCGGGAGGGGTGTCCGCCGCGGGGCCCCTGCGCCTTGCTCCGACGACCCCGCCGGCCTTCGGCCCCCACAACAGCCAGTTAGAGGCCGTCGCGTGGAATGAACTAGCCCTTGGCACTTTCCCTTATCGTAGCGTGTTGGGTCGCCGAGCCCCCAGGACCCGAGACGGCTGCCCCCCCCCGCCCCGCCCAGAAACAATTGCAGACCCTTGGGACTCGGCAGCACACTTGCAGGGGGTCGTGCCCTCGCGGAAGCCCACGCGGGGTTAAGAACCGGGCTCCTGGGGGCTCACCGTATGGAGACCTACACGGGGCAGGTACTGAATTCGGATTCACAGTAGTGTGAGCCGTGGGGAGCCTGGCTCCGCAGTCTTTCGGGGGGGGGGGAACTGGCCTGGGTCACACGTGGGGGGCGGTGTGCGCAGCGGGAGCGCCGCGGGCCCAGGCTCCCCGCCCGCAGCTGGAAGCCCTCGCGCTCGCCCGCGCGGCAGCCCCGGCGCCCGTCCCCCGTCCCCCGTCCCAGCTGCGGGCGGGCTTGACTAATGCAGCCGTTTCCTAGCTGGTCTCCTGCTTCGCTTTCCCTTCGTGATCCATCACCTAAGCCGCCGCAGGAGGAACCTCTCAAGCGGTGTAATTTCTGTCACCGCCTCCGCTGGGTCCTCCAGCGGGTCTGTCCCGAGCTTACAGGAGACCCAAGCCGCCGCGCGCCCCTCACCGGGGCCTTCTGTGTCGGCCTCCTGCCCCTGCCCCTGCCCCTGCCCCTGCCCCTGCCCCTGCCCCTGCCCCTGCCCCTGCCCCTGCCCCTCCCCCTCCTCCCCCTCCCCCGGCCGCAGCACGCTCCTGGCCGCAGAGCCGTCGCACCTGCTCCGACTCCGGGAGCTCCGTGACGCTGCCTGGCACCCTCCCCCCCACCCCCCCCAGGTGTTTGCGGTTTGGCCCCTCCGTTCAGCCCCTGCTCAGATGTCCTTTATCAAGGAGCGCTTTCTGGACTCCCACAGGCTGGAATCCTCTTTCCCAGGCACTGCATTCCCTTACGCTGCTTCCATTTCTTCTCAGCACCGTCTCAAGTCGGGATTGGTTTTGTTTGGTCTCTCTCCTCCGCGGCCCTGCCGGTCGTGGCGGCCTCCGCATCCCCGGCGGCCGGGAGCGGTGTGGGACCGGGATGGGGCGACAGCGGGTGGACTGGGTGGAAGTGAAGGCCTGTTGGACAAGGACCACATGCAGCGGAGGTGAAGGGGAGGGGCTCGAGGCCTGGCTTTGCTGCCCTTGATCTTGGGCAGGTCCTCTCCCGGCCTCCTCTCGGTCCTGCTGGGGGGCTTGCTGAGAGAGAACCAGGGCCGTGGGGGGGGTAGGGGTGGGCCACGGCGGCTGCAGGGCAGGCAGCCCAGGCACAGGTCTCGGCTTTCCTGCTTGCTTTCCTGCTCTTCTGTGCAACGGGTTTGTTCTTATAAACCCCCTTTTAAGTGACTCCAAGAAACCTTCCAAGATGCGGGAAGAAACTTGAGGCAGACGTGAAGGACGGGTTCTGTGATTGCCTTTCTCAGGAGGAGGAGACTCTCTAAGGGCAGTGCCCGGGGCTGCCCTGCGGGGAGGCCTAACACAGGGCCTGCCACCAGATTAGAGTGCACACTTTTTTGGGGGGGGGGGGGGGATGGTTTGATTTTAGACTCAAGGGCCCTCAATGTCCGGTTTTGTGCTTAGAATGAATTTCACTGGAAACAACCAGCTCTGTGCCATTTTCACCAGAAGATACTGGAGTTTCCTGGGAAATGCTGAAAGTGCTTGTGGTGCCTCAGGTTTTTGGTTTTGTTATTTTTTTAAGTTAATTTAAGTCATCTTGACTCCCAGTGTGGGGCCCGAACTCACCCCCCCAAGATCAAGAGTCCCGTGCTCTTCTGACTGAACCAGCCAGGCGCCCCATGGTGCCTCGGGTTCAAAGCCCTGCAGGTCCTTTGGGGGAGCCAGCTCTCGAGAGCCTTCTGAGGGCCGCGGAAGGCAGGGGCTGGCGTAGACGTGCTCGGCCTGTGCCCGGGGAGCGGGACTCTGGAAAGAGCCAGCCGACGCGCCGAGAGCGAATGAAAGGCCGGCCCGCAGGAACTTCGCGGCTGGGCGGCGGGCGGCGGGCGGCGGGCCGGCCGGGGCCTGCTCATTCTGCTCTCCCCCTGCAGGCCCCGCCATGTCCCGCGGCCTGGGCTGCCTGGTCCCGTACAGCCTGGCTGTGTTGCTGCTCGGTGGCCTGCTCTTCCTGAAGAAGGAGGCCACGCCGGCCGGGGGCCCCGCGGCCCGCCAGCCCTTCTGGTCTCCCCCGGGGCCCCGCCGCAGCCCGTGTGCCCCCAACCGCACGGTGGCTAACGCCTCCCTGTCCTTGCCGGGCCGTCACCGCCTCTTCCTGACCTATCGCCACTGCCGCAACTTCTCCGTCTTGCTGGAGCCTTCGGGCTGTGCCGAGGACACCTTCCTGCTCCTGGCCATCAAGTCGCAGCCTGGCCACGTGGAGCGGCGCGCGGCTATCCGCAGCACGTGGGGCCGGGAGGGGGGCTGGGCCAGGGGCCGGCGGCTGAAGCTGGTGTTCCTCCTGGGGGTGGCGGGACCCGCGCCCCCCGCCCAGCTGCTGGCCTACGAGGGTCGCGAGTTTGATGACATCCTGCAGTGGGACTTTGCGGAGGACTTCTTCAACCTGACCCTCAAGGAGCTGCACTTGCAGCGCTGGGTGGCGGTTGCCTGTCCCCAGGCCCACTTCGTGCTAAAGGGAGATGATGATGTCTTCGTCCACGTCCCCAACGTGCTGGAGTTCCTGGAGGGCTGGGACCCAGCCCGGGACCTCCTGGTGGGAGACGTGATCCGCCAGGCCCTGCCCAACAGGAACACCAAGGTCAAGTACTTCATCCCCCCGTCCATGTACGGGGCCCGCCACTACCCGCCCTATGCCGGGGGTGGGGGATATGTCATGTCCAGAGCCACCGTGCAGCGCCTCCAAGCAGCCGTGGAAGAGGCTGAACTCTTCCCCATCGATGATGTCTTTGTGGGCATGTGCCTGAGGAAGCTGGGGGTGAGCCCCATGCACCACGCTGGCTTTAAGACATTTGGAATACGGCGGCCCCTGGACCCCCTAGACCCCTGCCTCTACCGGGGGCTCCTACTGGTGCACCGCCTCAGCCCCCCGGAGATGTGGACCATGTGGGCGCTGGTGACCGATGAGGGGCTCCAGTGTGCAGCAGCCCCCTTGCCTCGACTCCGAGGGGCGGGTTGAGTGAGTAGACCCAGTGTTGATTTTCCTGTCAGGACGACAAATTGAGAACCTTGACACTTGGCCCTGATGGTCTATAGGAAATGCTGACTTCATTTTTGTAACCCCCACCCCAACCTTGCTAACTCTGATTAAAAACACTGAAACTTGGCTTCACCTGTCCCAGCATGTGTTGAATGGGAGCCACGTCTGGCTTAGCGACTGCTGCCAGAACTCAGGTGCTGGGGGCGGGAAGGGAATTCCTGGAGCCCCTTGGGGCTCTGCCAGTCTGGGAGGTGAAGGAAAGAGGCTGCACAGGGCCCCAGAATATACACACAAACATGTTCTTTTTGAAATGTAAAACAAAAAAAAATTATTCTCCTTCAGATACAATAGAGAAACTCGAAGGAAAGAAGGAAACAAGAAGCATGTGTTGGAACATGTCCTGTTGAGCACCAGGTAAACGCTCTGCTTTCAGTTCCTTAAGAATACTGGACTTTTGGCTCCTGGGCTTCAGCTGTCCTTACAGGCAATGGGGCCAGATCACAGAAGGCATTAGAAACACTTAAAAAGAAATCTTATAAACAAGCTCCTCTCCCCCCCCCCCCCCGCAAAAATGCACATTCCTATGGGGGGAGCAAAGACTAAATCATATTTGAAAATGTAAGACTGGAAATGGAAGTTAAACAGCTACTGAACTTGTCTGTGGGCATGACAAAAAAGGACCCCTCTCTCTGGCCAGGCTGCTGAGATGCCCTGGGTGAGAGGGAAAAAGATGGGTGCATGGGAAGCTGTGCAGACTGGGGTCAAATGTTAAACAGGGTGCAGTGCCCCAGGGCTAAGAACCAGGTCCACAGGGGTCGGGGGGGGGGGGGGGGACGGGGCCAGGCGCTCCCAGCTCACTCCGGCCTAATGGGCCAGGGCAGGACCTGCTGTGTCCTCTCCGTGCAGGGATTTCCCCAGGCGGAGCCGGCGGACGTGGGCAGCAGCCGGGCACTCAGTCCTCACGCAGGTAGGCCTCCTGCTCCGGCCCGGCCCTCTCGTCCCCTTCCTCCTGTGTTTTCTGACGGAGCTCCTCCGTCTGTGCTTCTGCCAACTTGGTCTCTGCTTTCTGGGACAGCTGACGCATTTCCTGTACCTGCGACTTCACCAACTGAATATGATTCCTGGCAGTTATCGAGGCCTGATCTGCTCCTGCCAAAAGATGGGACAATGAGGCTGAAAGGTCACATGGGGCGGGGCTTGGGGGGGGTTGTCGAGGAAAGCCTGGGGCCCTGTGGCTGGCATCTGAGCCCCTCCGTCTTAGTCTGTCCCTGCCCTCTCTGCACAGCAGAGAACTTCCTACCTCCACACTGAGGTCGGCATTTTTCCCCAGCTATCAGCAGCTATCATTAAGAATTATAACTCCCACAATCCTCTTTATAGCTACACACCTCTTCGTATAGACACCTTATGAATTTAACTACACAACTAACATTTCTTTTTGACAAATTAATAGCTCAATGGAATTGTCAAAGCTCTCTTTCATCACCCAACCCAATCTTCAGAGATAACCTCTGCTGGAAGTTGAAAGGGCATCTTTCTCCTCTTTTGTACCTATGGAATGCATAGAGAAAAATTGTTACCTTTTGTGTCTTTATGTAAATTTATACTACTTATTGAACATATTTTACAATTTTTTTCTTTAAAAATGTTTTTGGGCTCTATCATTTTGTTTACCTGCTACTAGTATGTCCTCATAGATACACATATTTATCAATTCATCTATAGAAGATCTGGGTGGTTCTTTCCAACCTTACTGTATTAATAAGAATCTTCAGTACAATGCTAAAAATTAGTGGAGAATTGTAAGCACCCCTCTTATTGCTGACCTTGATGGGAATGCCTCTCATAGTTCATGGTTAAGTAGAATTACTTAACCTTTATCATGTTAGGAAAATTCTATTCATAACTGTACTTAGATTTACATCATAAATGGGCACTACATTTTACTGACGGCTTCGGGGCACATAGTGACATTAGATGGCCATTATATTACGTAGCTTTCCTCCTCTACTGCAGATGATCTCAAGTAGTGAGTTATGTTGATAGTTTTTTTTTCAGTATTGAAGTATCTTGTATTTTGAGGGTGAATGGCTATATTTGACTTACATCCACGTAAGTGATGCTAACCATAGTTTTGTTCCAGTGCTGGCCTAGTGCAGTTTGCGGTCAGGGCCCGTGCTGACTTTATACAGTGACAACAGTCGGAAGGCTTGCCATCACGTTCTATGCACTGGTATGCTTTCTGTAACAGGAATTATGTTTCTTGAAGATTTGCTAAGACTCTCCACGAAACAGCTGGGCTTAGTGTCCATTTTGGGGGCACAAAATCTTTGAATACTATTTCAACTTTTATGGTTATTGGTTTTATTTGGATTCTTTACTTTTGGAGACAATTTCCATAAAGACTGTAATATTTATATAATGAAAAGCCCTCCGTATCTCTAATAGCCCTTTCTGATGTTATTTTTGCCCTCTAAAAAGTCATACTTGCCAAATTTTTAAGGAAACAGATTTTGCCTTTTTAATTATTTTTTAAAGATTTTTATTTATTTTAGAGAGCGTGAGGCAAGCGCATGAGTGGGGGTAGGGGCAGAGGGAGAGAAGAGAATCCCAACCAGACTCCCCACTGAGCACAGAGCCCAACGTGGGGGCTCCATCTCACAACCCTGACATCATGGCCTGAGCAGAAATCAAGAGTCGGACGCTTAACTGACTGAGCCACCCAGGTGCCCCTATTTCTTTAAATCTTCTTACACCTTTTATTTCACATACATACATCGTTCATAATTTCTTTACCACTCATCTACCGATGGACACTGGGTTGCTTCCGTATCTTGGCTATTGTAAATAATGCTGCAGTAAACACAGGGGTGCATATATCTTTTTGAATTTGTTTTTGTTTTCGTTGGGTAAATACCCAGTAGTGGAATTACTGGATCATATAGTATTTCTATTTTTAATTTTTTAAGGAACCTCCATACTGTTTTCCACAGTGGCTGCACCAATTTACATTCCTACTAATAGTGCACAAGGATTCCCTTTACTCCACATCTTGGCCAATACTTGTTACTTCTTGTCTTTTTGATAGTAGCCATTCTGACAGGTGTGAGGTGTGATCTCGTGATTTTGATTTGCATTTCCCTGGTGATTACTGATGTTGAGCATCTTTTCATGTGTCCATTGGCCATCCGTATGTCTTCTTTGGAAAAATGTCTATTCAGATCCTCTGCCTGTTTAACTGGATTGTTTTTTGGTGTTGTGTAAGTTCTATATGTATTTTGGATATTAACCCCTTATCAGATATATAATTTACAGGTATCTTCTCCCATTCGTTAGCTTGCTTTTTGTTTTGCTGATAGTTTCTTTTGCTATGCTAAAGCTTTTTATTTTGGTGTAGTCCCAATTATTTTTGCTTTTGTTTCCCTTGTCTGAGGAGACATATCCATACATATAGGTTGTTAAGGGTGAGATGATTGCCTATGCTTTCTTTTAGGAGTTTTGTGGTTTCTGGTCTCACACTTAGAGGTCTTTAATCCGTTTATTTCTTGTGTATGGTGTAAGTAAGTGGTCCAGTTTCATTCTTTTGAACGTAGCTGTCCGGTTTTCCCAACACCATTTGTTGAAGAGACTGTCTTTTCCCCATCGTATAGTCTTGCCTCCTTTGTTGTAGATCAATTGACCACATAGGTGTGGGTTCATTTCTGGGCTCTCTATCCTATTCCATTTATGTCTCTCTTTGTGCCAGTACCACATCATTTTGATTACTATAGATTTGTTGTATATTTTGAAATCCAGGATTTTGACACCTCCAGCTTTGTTCTACTTTCTCAAGATTACTTTGGCTATTCAAAGTCTTTTATGGTTCCATACAAATTTTAGGATAATTCTAGTTCTGTGAAAACTATTTCACAGTATTTTGATAGGGTTGCATTGAATCTGTAGCTTGTTTGGGAGAGTATGGATATTTAAACAATATTCTTCCAATGCATGAGAGCATGATACGTCTTTATATCTCTGTTGTCTTCAATTTCTTTCATCAATGTCCTAGTTTTCACAGTATGTGTCTTTCACCTCCTTGGACAAATTTATTCCCAGGTGTTTTATTGCTTTGGGTGCAATTGTAAATGGGTTGTTTTATTAAGATTTTATTTATTTGAGTGGGCGTGCGTGCACATGCACACAAGCAGGGGTAGGGGCAGAGGGAAAAGGAGAGAGAAAATACCAAAGCAGACTGTGCCCAGCAAGAAGCCCAACACAGGGCTCGATTCCACAACCCCTAGACCATGACTCAAGCTGAAATCAAGAGTCAGATGCTCAACCAAGCCACCCACGTGCCCCTTGTTAATCTTTTTTTTTTGTAAACCATTGAGTATGTTAGCTGTGGGTTTTTCATATATGGCCTTTATTATGTTGGGGGATGTTCCCTCTAAACACACTCTGTTGAGAGTTTTTAACACAAATGGATGTTGTATTTTGTCAAATGCTTTTTTTTTTTGCATCCATTGATCCTATGGTTTTTATCCTTCCTCTTACTGTGAGGTATCAACACTGATTTGCAAATATTGAGCCACCCTTTCATCCCTAGACTAAATCTCATTTGTTCTTGGTGAATGATCTTTTTTTGCTGTTGTTGTTAAAGATTTTATTTATTTGAGAGAGAGAATGAGAGAGAGAGCACATGAGAGGGGGGAGGGTCAGAGGGAGAAGCAGACTCCCCGCTGAGCAGGGAGCCCGATGCGGGACTCGATCCCGGGACTCCAGGATCATGACCTGAGCCAAAGGCAGTCGCTTAACCAACTGAGCCACCCAGGCGCCCGGTGAATGATCTTTTTAATGTATTATTGATTTCAGTTTGCTAATATTTTTTAAAAAGATTTTATATGCCAGAGTGCGCTTGCGTGAGCACAAGCACAAAAAGCAGCAGGCCGAGGGAGAGGGAGAAGCAGGCTCTCTGCTGAGCAGGAAGCTGGACTCGGGGCTTGATCCTAGGACCCCGGGATCATGACCTGAGCCGAAGGCAGATGCTTAACCGACTGAGCCACCCAGGCGCCCCAGTTTGCTAATACCTTATTGAGGATTTTTGCATCTATGTTCATCAGACATACTGGCTTCTGGTTTTCTTTTAAATATTTGAGACACAGTGAGCGTGTGTGCTGCTTGGGGGGGGAGGGGCAGAGGAAAAGGGAGAAAGAATCCCAAGCAGACTCTCTGCTGAGTGCCGAGCCTGGCGCAGGGGCTTGATCTCATGACCCTGACATCAGGACCAGAACTGAAACCAGGAGTAGGAAGCTTAACAAACTGCACCACCCAGGCACCCCTGGTTTTCTTTTTGTAGTGTCTTTGGTTTTGGTGCCAGGGTAATGCTAGCCTTGTAGGATGAATTTGGGAATTTTCTTTTGTCTTCTATTTTTCAGAGTAGTTTGAGAATAGGTATCTTTTTAAATGTTTGGTGGAATTCAATTTGGTGAAGCCATCTGGCCCTGGACTTTTGTTTGTTGGTTTTTTTTTTTTTTTAATTCCATCTCATTACTAATAATTTTTCTGTTCAAATTTTCTATTTCTTCCTAATTCA